CTAAGCTGGCAATGTTAGGAATGGAACAGGGACACAACAGACAGGAGGCAGGTAGACCAGTTAAAAACTACTTAAAACAGTCTTGTTAATAGATTCCCCTGTCTTTATTTCTTGCCTCATCAATTTCAAGTGCCACTAGTTATCTACCTAAAACAATGACTTATGACATCAGAAATCCTCTCTGGCTCCCCATGGCCCATGAAATAGGATTCATATTCCTTCTACTCTTAACACTACATTGTCTACGTCTGGCTTTGGCATTTTTGCCTGCAGAAGATATGTCTGGATCCTCTGTACTATAGTGTGAGGGTGGTGCTGTTATAATCTTCTACCAGTCAGTTGAAGGTCATCCCATAACTTACATCTATATCACCCCTCTATAAGTAGAAAAGGTACTTTCTTGTCTCACCATTTATACACGATAGCACAGATTATATTCCATGTCAAATGAGACATGGGTTCAAAGCCCACCTCTGCTACTCACTAGCTATAAGACAATGAATATATTTTTTAATCCCTATGAATTTCAGTTTTCTTGCCTTTCTGTAAAATAGGCATGATGATAATTCTGACTTCAAATGGTGGCTGTGGCCTTCAGATGAGACAGTCACGTAAGGTCTTCAGTATGGGGCAAGACCCAGAGAAAGCCCTCAACAGCTACTAGCTTGTATCATAAGGCCAAAATGCATTTTTTATAAACATATATGGGAACAAACCTCAGTACTAAAACAGTTAATGTTACTGGGGAGCCAGAAAGACACACTTCCAACTGACTCAGATTAACACCGATGTTATTTCCCTTGTACAGATAACAAAAAACTTCCTTTTTCAAATTCCTCAGTCTAGTCTCCAGCTAATCCTGAAATTGCATGCAACCCAATGTGAATCAAATAAAAAATGAAAATAGTAATTATGCTGAATCAAACATTTTATATTTGTATGTTCTAACTACAGATTGAGCTGTGTAAGCCAGAACTTTTGACTAAATTCTTTTTTGAGCATGTTGAGATAGTTTCTATAACACATGGAACAATTTCTAAAGTGAAGGGTCCTATGGCTCAATTAGACCCTCTCCTCAAGAGAAACATGGAAGCAAAACTGATTCCAAAAGAACTAGATATAAAAAGTTCATTGCAAAATCCAATACAGCTATTTGAATTGGGGAAGGGGGAGTAGAAATCTTGAAGATACATACATACAATAATCAAATCAGAAATTATTGCTATCCCTTCAGTGTGTATGCATGTATACACACACACACACACACACACACACACACACAGATTCTCACTTTCTCTGGGATATAGAGATGTGTGTATGCGTATGCATATGCATATGCGGACACCCACTCAAAGGTACAAGCTCATGAACATAAATAGGAATAGGAAGTGAAAACTCCAAAATCACAACAATGACACAAAATATTACTTGGTATCAACCACTACCAATATAAAAGTGACTTTTGGCAAGCTCAAGAAGATTTGTAACCAAATTCCTCTCTCAAAAACATAATTTCAACAAAGGTTACATTAGTAAAAAAAAAAAAATGCTTTATCCTCTGTCATTATGAAGGAAGTCACAATAAAATGGTTAGTTTTTTAAACTTTTTTTTAACAAATGAACTAGCATCATCTAACTGATAACCCTAATCCCAAATCCCCTTTTAAATTTTATTTATTTGTTTATTTATTTATTTTTATGGCAGCTGAGGATCGAACCCAGTGCCTCACATGTGCAAGGAAGGCACTCTACCACTAAGCCACAGCCCTAGCCCCACCTCTTATCTTTTTCCCTTGTTGCTGGGGATTGAACCAAGGGCCTCGCACATGCTAGGCATGTGCTTTACCATTGAGCATACCCCCAGCCCCCACTTCTCATCTGTATCACTCATAGCACTTGTCACACCCCATGGTGTCTTCCAGTGATGTATGTGCATGGCTTATCTCCCTACTACCAGGCAAGATCCTGGTGGCAGAGGCCCCTCCTTCACTTCTTGCTGCCTCCATGATGCTGAGCACAGAATACTACACATAGTAGGCACTCTAAAAAAGATATGGCCAATGAAAGCTGAACAAAAATGCATCTTTTTTGTTAATGATCCCTTTTAGTCTTGGTATCTGAGCTCCTCATGGTTTGAGAAGTACAGGGGTCAAGTCAACAGGCAATGCAGGACCTCAGTTAGAAACCCTGTCAGCATGATATACTCCCTGACACCCTTGAGAACATATCAGATTACCCTAATTATGATCTATGACTGAGGCTCTTTCACAACATGGAGTATTCTTAAAGTCTGTTCAAACCTATAGAAGGCAAGTGCAAGACCACTGAGAATAAAACCTTAAACTTGGACTCAATGAGCCAGGCACCCAGACATTGTGACCTTTGCCTAGAAAGCAGTCCTGGATGTTTTGTATTGAAAAAATATATATCACACCTAGGCCTAATACAGGTCACTATATTGACTATCCCCCCCAAAATGACCCAAATTAGATTAGTAATAAAAGGAGATAAAGCTAATATATGCATCTAGAGAGGCCAAGGCAATGGTAAAGATTACCCCTGTTTCTATACTGGCCTTCTAAAGGTATTTACTTGGGTCTGTCTGTGTTGTGACAGTGTCCTAGACTCAAACGAATGCTTCTAACACTCCACATTTTTGAGCCATTCAGTCATGCATTTTTGTTATTGTTGAAAGTGGTGCGAAATTGCACTGCATGAGCTAAAGTCCTTGGTGGTCTTCCAAGGATTCCAGCTAAAAAGGCACTTCCTTTGTTCCTCAGGAGAATGCAGTCCAGTAGGTCATTCAAAAGGGGAAATAAAAGCAGCAGCCCTGGGAGGGAGATGAAGGACAAGACAAAAAGAATAAAATGTTTTGGGTGGGAGCACATTAGCTTCCATTTCCTGCTGCTGGTCACTAATAACTCCCCTATCTGGGGTGGTGGGTTCAGATAGACATTTATGCAAAAATACTCTTCAGGTGTGTCACAGGGACCACAACAATCAAAGGGAACACCTAGAGCATGGGTGTCTCTGAGCACCTTTCAAGCTTCCTTTTTCCTGAGATGCTGGCTAGGAAAGATGCCCTGCCATTTTTAGACTGCACAGAGCAAAGTTGGAGAAACTGGGGAGGGGGATTTCACAGCCCACTCCCTGAATGCCTCCAGTCTATCTCAAAGGCTTATATTGTTTGCATGAGCAGAAGATGAAAACTTGTCACTTTCCCATTAAGTTCATAGCTGCATCTGTCCCTTCAAAACGTGGGAATGACAACTGTAACCTTCACGCCAATCATCTCCACTGCACCCAGGCCCAAACTGTGCAGGGCACAAAGACCCCAGGTCTGACCTGCAGAGCCCCCAAGCTTCAGTGGCTGCTGGTTCACGTCACTTTTTCTGGCTGGGCGGGAGGAAGAGGGGAAAGAAAGAGGGCTTTTCAGGGCTCTACAACCAATAAAATCGTGCAGCTCTGAGGACATACTTGAGCTCCCAAAAAGACAGGCAGCTGAAGGGCAAACAGTCTTTAATCAGTAGTGTGCTAGTTATTTGATAACTGCCAAGGTGCAGTGGGTGCCTGGGCTACTCCAACAATTTCTTCGGTTCTATTTCTAGACATATGCCGGTTACACTCCGAAAGTGCCCAGCAACTTCCCTCAATTACCTTTGTAATTTATATGTAATTGATGACTGCACTTAATCTCCAGGGTTATTAATAGCCCTTCCAAAAAATGGCCCCCAAGTCTTCCTAAGCCTTTGGAAGCGCCTGGTTAAAATTACAGTATTTCCTTTGCTGGCTGCCGGCCCCCTGCCTGCCCCACCCGGGCAACCAGCAGGCGAGGCTAAGGCGGGCTGCGCTCACTTCCATGAAAGGTTCGGAATGGAGGCTCGGCCCCTGGGGCAAGAATCGCTCACTCCTCCGTTAGGATGTGCTGGCCACCAGCCAGCTAGATTCGTGGCTCTTTCTGAGCCCCCAGGGCGAACAGGCTACCTGCAGCCGCCGCTGCCGTCACCAGCCCCAGCGCAGCCCGCGGGGCTGAGCGCAACAGTTGGCTGCGGCGAAAGTGCGAATGTGACCGGGATAGGACCCACCCCCGGCATCTCCGCCAGCCTCACGACGAAGGGCGAGGGCGCCCCCCGGAACGCTGCCTCCCCAGCGCTCGGAAAAGGGCTTTCACAAACACCCTTGCAGCCCCCAGCGCTGAAATCCGGTGAACTTTTTCAGAGGCTAAGCCGTCTTCATTTGCATAACCATCTCCAAACTGAGATTCAGGTTTCCTGTAATCAGTCCTTTCAAAGGTCTGTAATTGAATGTGCAATTAACCCTTAAAATGAGGTGAGAAAAAAAAAAGAAAGGGGGGAAAATACCCTTCTTGTCCAGCACCTTCCGGAAAGCAGGAGAGTTTGGAAAAGTCAGGGTTTGGAGGGGTAGAGAGTCAGGGGAGAGTCGCTCGCTTTTTAAAGGCGGCTTCTAAAGCCTTTGCAGCTACTAAAACTCCTAATCCGTGTCAGCAGTGGAAGAGAGGCGGGGAGAGAGGTTTTAAAAGAACATCAATGAAACACCAAGTTCCACGTCTTGCGCCCCCGGCATCTGCAAGTTCTAGGAGGTTCCCCCACCCCCACCTGGCCTCTAGTCACCCACACAACAAAGCGGGGAGCCAGTAAAGACTGCAACCCGGAAAAGGCGAGAGAGCCGGTGACACGCACTCTGAGGGCCAGAGTGGCTTCCCAATACTGGAAAGACCGCGAGGGGAGTTAGAAGCAGTGCGCGGGAGTGGCACTGGGCAAACTGGCGGCGCCCCTACACTCGCATTGCCTGGGGGCCGCCGCGCCCGCGAGGCATATTCTTCTTCGCTGGGGCTGGCTAGCTCACTTTCTCTCGCCTGCGCATTTCTCCCTCTCCACTACCTGGGTCTTGGGTTCCGCGCGGGCACCAGCGCGGGAGGGCGTCCGCAGCCCTTTCTCAGGGTGCCTGCCTCTGCTCCGGCCCGGGGGGTTCCCACTTACCGTTTATCTCGTGGAGCGGGGCATCATTCTTGTTGAAGCCTTTGGACACATAGAGACGTCGCACTTCCGAGCAACTTTTCGACTTGAGCTCAGCAGCCAGCAGTGCGGCGCTAAGCACCGCCAGGGTGCAAAGAAGTGCGGGCAAGCCGAGCCGTGCCATGATGCGGGCAGGGACAGGCACGCTCCCCCACCTTTGGAACTGGATGCGACGGGACGGGAAAGGGCGCTGAGGGAGCGGGCCGGGGGGCGCGGAGTCGGTGGCTCCCAAGTGGAGCAAAAGAGCAAAGGAGTTAGAGTTGGTGAAGGGGAAGAGGAGGAGGAGAGCAGGAGGAGGAGAGCAGGAGGAGGAGACGCGGGGCGAAAACTAGAGCTGGGCCTCGCGTCAGGCAACGGTCCCCGGTGCCAGGCTCCTGGCTGGGGGAGAAGAAGGAGGAGAAGGAGGAGGGTGTGGAGACGGTGCGCGGCCCAAGGGAAAGGAGGCACTGGCTAGTGACCTCGAGGGCTTCGCGGGGCAGGGAACCCGGTAAGCTGACCGGGTGGCGGAGCAGGGACAGGGGCTCGAAGAAGGAAGGGAAGGTGGCAGACGCCGCAGGACCGCGGAGGGTGTGGGCAGCGTCGGCTGGCGCTCCCTGAGCGCGGCTCGGGCTGCCCGGCGCTGGTCCGCTCGCCTGGCTCGAGTCAGCTCGGCTCACTCTGCCCTCGGCCGCACCGCTGTGCCCTTCTCAGCTCTGCCGCTGATTGACTGGCCGGCTTGCTCAGCGACGCTCGGCAAACTTGGCCAAGCGGGCGGCACTAAGGGGGAGGGGGCGGGCGGCGTTGGGGGGGGGGCCGGAGACAGGCGGGAGCACGCAGGGCCGGGCCGGGAGAAAACCTGGAAGCGGGGTTGGATCCGGAGCAGCCAAATCCACTTCCTAGGGGGCCGCACCGGGCGCGCGGCGCTCCTTCGTGCGACACGCCCCGTCGGACTCCTCCCTCCTCCCCTCCTCCTCGGAGGCGAGGAGCCTGTTTGCCGCCCCCCACCCATAGAGGAAAATCCAATTTCTCCCGGATGACGGGCCCAAGTTCTGGGGAACCGGGAGGCTTGGGATTTGTCCCTAAACCCACTTCTGAGCCATAGGCCTTTTTTGCGAGGCCACCTGACCAGCCTTCAGCAAGCCAAAGCCGCAAGGAGCCCTCCCGCTGGGATACCTGCCTCCCCGCTGCCACCCCGCAGCCGTCCAACTCCTGGGCTGGGGGAGGAAGGAGTCCACGTTTCTCTCATTGTTTCGCTGCGGGCACCAGAGGGTCCTGGAAAGCCGAAGTGGCCCTAGAGCCTCACCTTACCACATCAGACCTGCTTCCCATCAAAAGGGCTCAGGAATCTCTGACATGTCCCTGACGCTGGCAGGCATTCTCCACTCTCACCCCACCCCATGTCACCCTCACCCCGCTCCTGGTTCGGCAAAAAGTCTAATCAAACCCTGAAGCGTGAAAAACACCCAACTCCTGAACCTCAAGCCACGGGGGCAAAGTCAGGGTTATTTCTGGAAAACTTGGAGACCTTCAGGTCCAACCCCATGTATGTAAGGGAACTGCAACCCCAGAAAAAGAAAGCAATTTGATAGTAGCACTTAGGAGAGGTGAGTCCAGAACCCAAGACTCTTGACTGCAGGGTCACAGGGACTAATGGAGCAGAAGACCCCCTAAACCTTCTTCCCCCTCACACCATTTAGCCACCAGAAAACTGGGAATGAGCTAGTACCTTCCAAGTTTTGACAGATTCCATTAATGAGTGTTTTTGAAGCTCCCAGGGCTCCTTTAATGAAGGGAACTGTGCAGATTGGGAACTTGTCATTACTGTTGTTATTGTTACAATCTGCTTTAAGAGGTTAGGGTGAGAAGTGCCTCAGACACCTCGGGAGTATGCTGGGAACTGGGCAGATAAAAAGGGCTGGAACTTATTATTTGGCTAGACTCTCAATTCCCATAAAATTACATAGGGTGAAGATATGAACCGTCATTACAATTATCGCCTTCAGAGGGTTTGTTGAGAAGTCCTCCACTGTTGTTTGTAAACCACGTTGACATGGTTGGCTATAAGGAGCTGTAGATATCAGTTTAGCTGTTGTTTTGAATGCCCGCTGCAGGCTCCTCTGCATTGTGTTAACTCTTGGAGATCATCAACATAAACAGATTGTGAAGTCTGTAACTGGGACTTCTAATTTCTGTGGGTTGGCAGAACATGTAACTCTGAAGAGAGCAATTTTTCTGAATACACAAACTAAACTATCATTGAGTCGCCAGCCATCTTCAATGAACTTTCAAATAATCCAAGTTTTCCTTAAACTGATAATCATGAGGTCCTCAAGGCATTGCTAGGGCTTAGCCCAGCACTTTTAACTTTTATTGATGCACTTATTTAAAGATAAGTTAAAGGTTCTTCACCAAGGAGAATATGATCTGAGATGCAACCAACATTAATAATAAAATAAAACCCAGTGACTATAAGAGAAAAAGGATTCTCCTAAACCACAGGGCCAAATTAGAAAACTGCCTCTCACATCAAGTCCAGGAGGAACTCTTTCCTTGCCCCTCCCTCAAATTTACTCCCTCTATGCCTCCTAATTTATTATTAACCAAAACTTGAGGCTTTTCCACCAGAAACAGTAACCTGTGACTACAAACAGATCTCAACAAGTCTGAACTTTACCATCAGAGCCAGAAACCCCAAGCCTTGTTCAGAGGTGGCTCCCACTTCAAAGCCTCCTTTCATTTAAATACAAACAGGGTGAACAACTGGCAATCAAGGAAACAAATATCTATCATCCAGAAGGGAAGCTGTTCAGGTGTCCCTCGCTTAGTCTGCCTCCCCTCTCTGCCTACTCACTTTTCTCTTCCTATGAGGCTTCTCAGTGGAAAGGCATCTGCTCCTTATAAATTCTCTGGATTGGAGGCTGTGTGTAGAATGCAAGATTGAATGAGTTCTCAGGCCATTGTAACCATTTTAAAGTGCCATTGTAAGGTGGCACTTAATACAATTAATGTTGTACAGCCATACACCATGTCTAGCTTCAGAACATTTTCATTATCCCAAAACAAAACCATGTACCCTCCAACCCCTGGAAACTACCTATCTGCTTTCTGACTATGGTTTTGCCTATTCTGGTCATTCCATACAAGTGAAATCATAAATATGTCTGGCTTCTTTCACTTATTATCATGCCTTCCAAAGTTCATCAGTGTGGTAGCATATATCAGTACTTCATTCCTTTTTATAAATGACTATTGTTCCATTTTTTGTAGTTTTTCCAGGTACACCCATGTAATTCAGAAAACTTGTATATTTGGGGGGAAGCTGAGGGTATAGCTCATTGATAGAGCATGTGCTTAGTATACTCTGGTTCAATCCCCAGTATCCCCCCAAAATAAAATTTGGAATTTAAAAAAATAGATAAGCAAGGTTATGTGGCTCATCTACAGCCACAGAGCTCTTGACTGACTGAACTAAGACTGAAATCTAAGGTCTCTGACTAAATCCCATGCTATTTTTGGTCAGAAAGCACAGTGCTCTACTTCTCATTTAGGGTCAACTGTAGATGTGCAACTTCCCAGATCCTGCAGAAGTGTCCCTGCTTCATATTTATAAATGTCCATTGAGCACATACTACACGCCAGAGTGCTCAGTCTTAGAGGGAGGGAGGATGTATAAGCAAAAAGGAGTTTACAGGTTCATATACTATATGTAAAGGCTCACTTAGATAAAATGTTATGGTAGATTCAGTTTTCCCAGGTGAGGGATTTCTCCTGGTGTGGCATGGACTCAGGGGGTACATTTGCTGGTGAGCAGAGGGAATAAAGAACACACTTGCAGGAGCTGGGGATATAGCTCAGTTGGTAGAGTGCTTGCCTTGCATGCACAAGGCCCTGGGTTCAATCCAAAAAAAAAAAAAAAAAA